AAGGAAAGAATTGTATATTATAGAGTGACTGTCAAATTCTTCAGAGCTTTAAACAGTGGCCTCTGCATAAGTTTTTGTCAAATAGACTAACAGAACACGTGAGATAGGAGAACTACAGTTTCTTTAGTTGTACTCGAAATAGGCAAATGGATTTTTTATATCAGATGATTTTGCTGAATCTCTGATATCCTGATGCCTTTGATGAGCATTCCCTTATACCATGTTTATTATCTAGCTATAAGCATTTGCCCAATTTTTTGTTTGTTCAAGACAAGAGTTTATGTAGCCCAAGATGTCCTTAAACTAGCCTGTCCAGACTATACTCAGACTTACCACTCTCCTGTCTCAACCTTCTAGTGTTGTGATTACAGGTGTACAACTCTGTTGCTTTGGGGCCAAAAATTAAGGGGGAAATCTAAAGGAAGTGACAAGATAGCCAGGGGAAAAGTATGAATACTAAGTGGTCTGTGGTTTTTAAATTCAAGAGAACATTGGAAAGAAGCTTTAAGTTGTTTCTCTGCATATGAAATTTCTGCTTATTTCTAACTTTGTCTCTAGCTACTTGAAATTCTGGCCGAGCAACTTTTGCTGTGGAATGTTGGTAAATGGCTCTAAATAGAATCACTTGGCTACTGGAATCAGTTCATATCAGATTCACTTTTTCATAATAATAGCATTCTTGAGTATAGTCAGTGTACAGCTAAAACAGAATATAACACTATAAGCTTCTGGAATCTACTTTTTAAATATTCTTCTGTTAACATCCTTTGAAGAATTTTGAAAGTACTTTCTTTAAATTCCTTTTAGCTGTCAGGAAGTGGGAATTAAGGACTGATTCTAGCCAAAACTCTAAATTCCCCCACCTGTAAGTTTGAAAAAGCCTTCACAATTACTTAAAAATATATTTTGTAGTCTAACTATATTTCCTCAAGAATCTAATACTTAGAAATCATGTCTGTGTTTTGGAAATTTGAAAGCAGTGTAATTTGTGGTCATAATTACTTCATCGTTATTACGTGACACTTCAAAATTGCTTTGAAAATATCTGTGCTGTTTCTCTGTAATTTTAAAAAAGTAAACACATGATCCCTCCCTTGGTAATTCTGCTCTCTATGCTCTCCACCTTCCTCTGCCCCAATTCCTGCTATTCCCTGTCCAAAGTCATTCCTGACTGCCTTTGCACTGACCGTTTCTCTTTGGAATCCAGCACTCAGCCACACTCAAATGTTAGTTCACCATTTAAAGGGCCACATATAGTTTAAAAAAGAAAGAAATTATGTTTGTATTGCAGTTGAAATAATTCTCTTATACTCAGATCTTCATTTTGCATTATCTGTTTTTCTCTTACATATTTTATATATTCTATCTTCCAATCATTTATGTATATATTCTGTTTCCCCAGTAGTAATTGGGAGTCTAATAACAAATGATACCTGCAATGTTGATAATATTATGTTAAAATACATAGTGCTTATCATCCAGACAAAAATCCCAGCATGGGCACGGAGGAGTGGGTAAGAAACCCCAACCCTGCTTGAGGAACTATTTATTGTCAACCAATGGCTGCTGGGAAGGAAAGAGCCAGGCTCCTTTAAGGGTGAGACTCTTAGGTTGATCAGACTCCAGTGGATAAATCTACGCTGAAGCGCATTTGGGGGACATAGTGTGACTCTATAGGCATATATATGCACACACACACACACATATGTATATATATTCATACATGTGTCTGTCTTAGAAATTTGGTGGAAAGTTAGTAAGGGGGATACAGATACAAGAGGGGATCAAAATGTGATCAAAGTATATTGTATGAAATTTACCGAAATTCAATCAAAATTAATTAAAAAATGTATAGCATTTAAAATCATGATGTATATTAGATGTTGTGTTAAAAAACAAACCAAAAACCTATTGCAAAAGCAAGAGTTAAAATAAACAGATTTTACCATAATGATAATTTTACTGATCTTGGCTGTACTGGTGAATGTGTGTTCATTTCAGAGTGATAAGCAATAATGGCTTAAAAAAAGGAGGGTTTTTTTTTTTTTTTTTAAGTTTTCCTGCCTCAGCATCCCACAGTTAGGACTGCAGTTGTTAGCTACCACACCCAGCTGAAAACAATGGATTGTTTCATCTTCAGCAGTTTCTCATTGATGCTACTATGAGGAAGACAAGATAGAATTGGTCTGTGGTCAAGGATATAGAGGACGTGGATAACAAGCCCTCTTCTGGTGTGTATGAATCCCAGCATCCAGGATAGCGAAACAGGACATCACATTTAGACTTCCGGATAGCATTCATGCCTCTGTGTTAGCTGTGATTCCCAATAATTTATAAGTTCAAAATGGTAACATGTATCCAGAAATTATAAAAATTCTTTCTAAATTAAGGACTGTCAAGAATTGGTCCTGGGCTGATGGGTTGCCCATGCCTCATACCCATTTGCACTCAGGGGAGTCAGGGCACTAATAGTAATAGTAATGATAGTAATAATGACATGAAGTCTGGAGGGCAGTGGTTTGGTGGGTCCTAGGATGAGTTGGAGCAAAGTAGTAGAGGATGAATAAGATCAAAATACATGGTATACATGGATGAAATTTTCCAAAATAAATAAAAATATAGAAAAAAATTGGCCCCAAAGGTTAAAATCTCAGCCTTCTAACCCAGGTTAAGACTAGGGACTGTGGAACTGGATTGAAAGGCTGATAGGGAGAATTAATTTAAATTGTAATATAGAGATTGGCAGGTTTAGTGAAAGAAGTGTTAGAGGGAATTATGATATGTACTTTCATGGATGTCTGCATGAAAGTCAGCCCTCATGTCAAGAATATCCCAGTCCTTGGTCTTCAGTTCTTGTCTATCTTAACTAATTTTATTTTAATTTTGTTGTTCTTGTTGTTTTGAGACAGAGTCTCCCTGTAGCCTCAGCTGGCCTGGAACTCACTATGTAAACCAGGCTGGCCTGGATCTCACAGAGATCCTCCTGCCACTGCCTCTCTAGTGCTGGGATTAAAGGCGTGTGCCACCATGCCCAGCTTTAACTTACTTTATTGGTGATCAAATTGCATGACTTTAAATACCATTCATTATGCCAGAAATTCCAAAAATGTATATCCACCTCTGGCTTTTATCCCACACTCCAAATCAACTGTCTACTTGACATCTCTGCTTGAATATACTTAAAAAGTCTTAAATTTAATAAGTCCCAAAGAAAAGCTCTAATTTCTAACACCACCCTCAGGCCCTACTTCAGCAGTTTGTCTGTAGTTATCTCTATTTCGATTTATGTGACACCATTTACCAGTTACTCAGATCAAAACCGTAGCATCATCCAGATGCTCTTTTCCTCTCACTCTGCTTAGTCTTTCAAGAAATTCTCTTGTCACGATGTCTGAAGCATCTTCAGCTTCCAGCAGTTCTCAGCACCTGTTGTGTCACTCTGACTGTAGGCCTCCATGTCCATGCACAGTATTAGTGCCTTGAGTTCCTCATCAGTCTCTTAGGTTCATGCCCCTTGGTGAATAATTTGAAAGAAATTGATTTTAGACTGTTTTATAGTATCTCTGACATGAAATTTCAAGATTCTGAATCATATCTCTATCTTGTTTGAGTAATTTTCTAGTTGAATTGTGTTGATTATTCATACTTGTTCATACCAAAGAGAATGCTTTTAACAGAAAAATACATACAGTGGCTTGCATTTTTAATTTTTAATTTATATTTTATTTATTTGTGTATGTGGGTAGAACATATATATACACCATGGCACATGTGTGGAGGTCAGAAGATTGACTACCAGGAGTTGGTTCTCTCCTTCCACTAAGAGGAACCCAGGGATTGAACTGTTTGTCAGGCTTGGAAGCAAATATCTTTACCCACTGAACCATCTCACTGGCCCAGGCCTGTGTTATTTATGTATATATTTGTGAAAGGCAACAATATATGCATAATTCCCAGCTGTTATGATCTGTTGAAACTTCAAAGCTTGAGAACCTGAGTTTGGAGCCCCAGCACCCCTGCGAAAGCCAGGTCTGATAGCATGCACCTCTAATCCCAGCACTGGGAAGGTAGAGACAGGGCATCTCTGGGGCTCACTGGCTGGCCATTCTAGCCAGTTGGTAAGTTTCAAGTTCAGTGAGGAACCCTGTTCAAAAATAAGCTAGAGAGAAATAGAGGGAGATGCCCAGCACACACACACGCGCGTGCACACACACACACACACATACACACACACGTCCCTGCACCCATGCACAAGGATATACACACAGAGAACATTATTGTCTAAATCAGGGAATATGATATTTGTAAATAGGTGATACATGGGCCAATGAACTCCAGAGTTTATGCAGAAAGTTTTATATTTAGAGATGATGCCTTGAAATTATACTTTTCACTAATTGCTCAAAGGAATCCTTAATCAAAACAAAGTTTAAGAACTACTAATCTTTACTCATTTCTTTTTAAAATGTATTTATTTTAATTTTATATATATGAATGTTATTGCCTACATGTGTGTAAGTGCGCCCGTGTTGTGCAGTGCTCGCAGAAGGACAGAAAAGGGTGCTGAATCCTCTGGAACTGGAGTTACGGACAGTTGTTAGTCATCATATGGGTGCTGGGATTTGAACCCAGGTCTTCTGCAAGAACAGCCAGTGCTCTTAACTCCTGAGCCATCTCTCCAGCCCCATCTTTACCCATTTCTATATATCAATATCATAAAACAGTTGAACCATGTGTTAGCTCTTATGACTAGTTTTATGATCTACCATCTAGATTTTGAGGAATTAAGCCAAATAAAGGCATTATTGTAAACAGTCCTAACAGCTGTTTTAGTGAAACTTACCCTCATTTTATAAGTATTGGTTTGGTGTATGCAACTACATGTTATTGTCTGTACAGATAGGCTGGGATAACTATTGATGTGATTATAGTTTTTTTCTGGTTATAATTTTACACAATTATCTTTTTTTCTCTTTTTATTTGATGCACTTTTAAATCAGTGAGTATTACTGATCCTGCTGGCCTTGGCTTCATCATTTCTCCATGGTCTCTGCTGTTGCTGCCATCTGGTAGTGTGTCCTTTACAGATGACAATATTTCCAGTCAGGACCTTCGAGCATTCACTGCACCAGAAGTTCTTCAAAACCACTCTCTGACTTCTCTCTCAGATGTTGAAAAGGTAACTGTTAAGTCTTTATTTTGTTATTTTGATGGAAGTAGGGAAGGCCAAGATAATGGGCTGCCCTATCTCAGTAGGGCAAGAACAAGGATGGAGAAAGTCCTTTGACTTTAGAATAACTGTGTGTTTCAAGAAATCCATACTTAAGAATTTGAAATAATTCTAGGGAAACATATATATCTGAGAAAAATACTTGAGGAAACTTTGAATATCAGGACTTGAGGATTTCTTCTAAGACAGTGAAAGTCTGTCATATTTATAGGACTGGGAAACAATGGGATTTATGATTTTGTAGATTAAGCCTGACAAATTTGGATAGTTTGGAGAAATACAAATTTTTGTGAAATTCTAATTGGGAGATTTTCCTAGCTGGGTGTGGTGGCACACACCTTTAGTTCCAGCATTCGGGAGGCAGAGGCAGGCAGATCTCTGTGAGTTCAAGGCCAGCCTGGTCTACATAGTGAGTTCCAGGTCAGCTGGGGCTACAGGTAGACCCTGTCTCAAAAAGACCAAAAAAAAAAAAAAAAATCTAATTGGGGAATTTTAATAATCTAGAGAGAAAAGAATTAAAAGAAGTATGTTGGCCATTTGAGGAAGTAGATGATGGGGATACAGAGGAGGCAAAACTGACAGACAGACAATTCATTTGGTGGAGCAATGAAAAAGAGAAAGAGTTTATGATGGAAATCTTTTAAGTCTGATAGGCATTGGCCAGGTTAAATTTAATTTCATTGATAAGCTCTGTAAACACTGAGGAGGGAATACGTGTGTGTGTGTGTGTGTGTGTGTGTGTGTCATATAGCAGACTTGGGAAATTAGATATGATGCCCTGAAGATTTGAAATTGGCTTTGAGAATCCTTTCTTATTCATCATTCCACATAAGTGTAAAAAAATCACCTGATAACTTGCTGATAAAACTACTAAATAAAAGTATACCCATTTTACATTGTGATACACATTTGCCATGGAAAGGAATTATAGCCATTTACCATGCTACTGATCCTTTTGAGAGAGAAAGAGAGATTGAGATTGATTCAGCAGAAGGCCAGGCTGTATCAATTGTGCATCTTTATGAAAAAAAAAACAAAAACACACTGATAAGACTTGGTAGAGTGAGTCCAGGCTAAAGTTGGTATAACTTTTGTATCCCTGGAAGTACTTTAAAAATGTGAGGCACAAGCAACCTGAGAAAGGAGACAACAGCTGTGAGGTGGAGGCAATTCTTGAGGCTCTGGCCCTCAGAAATTCCCCATTACATAAGATAAGGTATTTGAAAAGGACTTTGTATACTCCAACGTGTTTGCAGTCTTGGCCATTGTCTGTGAAGGAATTTAGGCATACTGAAATGTTTTATTAAGGTGAATAGTGTATACATAGCTACCCAATTTTATTCTATTTTCACAGTATGCATTCATTAGGTACTCTGTACAATTCATTTGCCCATATCCTTCTAAGATTAAGTATAATGTATATGAAAATTACTAACCCTTGAGGTTTCTGGTTCATAATTGTTTTTTTGTGTTTACAAATCAGTGAGATGGCATACTAGAGTTTTTGTGTGAGCACTTTTGAGAGTAGGTTTCCCCAGAATCATTAGTCTCCTATATGGGTCTGATAACTTCAGACAGAAGGAACTACTATAGCATAAAGTCACAAATAGTGTAGATTTTGGATATTCTTCTGATTATTGGAGAATCACACTCTCTAGTTATGAATTTATTTTGTAGATAGTTTTGACTTCTGCAAGGTATTTAAAGAGCTACAATAAAAGGAAAAAGTGTTCAATGATGTTTCAGGTACAGACTTGGGAATGTAGGTTAGTTAACAGAGTGCTTGCCTAGCATGCATGAGGCCCTGAGTTTAATTCTCAGCACCTCATAAACAGGGTGTGATGAAGCATATGTATAAATAATCCCAGCACTTGGGAGCTGGAGGCAAGAGGCTCAGAAGTTCAGTGTCATCCTCAACTCTATAGCAAGTCCAGTCCCTGGCTAGCCTGGGCTGTATAAGACCTAATCTCAAAAAAAAAAAAAAAAAAAAAAAAAAAGTCAGGTGCACAATGCTTTTTTGATTTGCTAGGAGGATTGCCAATTCTTCCTGTCACATTAGCTTCCCCAAATGCGCCAGGCATGGCGCTGCATGCCTGTAGTCTCAGCACCCTGGTTACAGAGACAGAATCAAGAGGTCAAGGCCAGCCTCTGCTATGTGAGACCTGTCTCAAACAAAACAAAACAAAAAAATGGATAAACTGCTATGCATTAGGAATAACAGCTGGACCATCTGTTTGGAAAGAAACCAAAACCACTCTACTATTATACTATGTTTAGGAGCAAGTGCTGGGGATAAGATGGGTCTGGGAATGTTGTTATCACAGCTAAAGTTGATTTCTTCCTGAGACCAACCCAAACATCTAGCTTGCTTGTCCCTCAGAAAGTCCAGAATAATTCTAAATACAAAGAAAATCAAAGCCAGGGTTTTTTTTTGTTTGTTTGTTTTGTTTTGTTTTTGTTGTTGTTGTTCTTAAAAGCCTATTCCATGTATAGTATCAACATAAACAGAGATCAAGATCAAGGGAACAGCCATACATTCCTTATACTGTTTTTACAGGCCACACTAAGCTTTTTAATATGTGAATTCCATATCCACTGATTCAAACACAGTGGGTTGAAGATATTCAGGAAAAGACTGCATCTCTACTGCTCATATGTAGACTTTTTTTGTAATTATTCCCCAAACAACACAGTATAACATCCATTTACATAGCCTTTAAATTATAAGTAGTGTAGATGGTTTAAGGTATACTGAGAGGTATACATGCATACACAAATGCCCAGTGCCTTGTACTGTAAATAAATAGTGAGTACTTCACATGTAGAAATGTTCCTTTTATGAAAAGACACATACCACCTGATTCTAGTCATATACTTGGAAATGTATACTTGTAATTGTACACCTAACATGTGTATGAAAAATTACCCAGCTACAGCTATATGTTCACTTGTTTGCCATAAAGTTATATTTTTCAAAATAACATGTCCCTTTGAATAATTAGAAAGGTCACAAACTTTTTGATCCTCTGGCTTTATTCCTTTTTAGGATGTTTTTTCCATTGACTGAGTAACTTTTAACTTTGTAATGTAGTTGCTATAGAAAGTAGTGTAAAGTTTCCTAAAGAAGTAAAAAGTAGAATTACCATATGATCCAGCAGTCTCACTTCTGAGCATATATCCAAAAGAGTTCAGAGCAGGATTTCAAAGAAATACTTGTATACCAATGTCTGTGATAGGATTATTCACAATAGCAATAAACTGGAAAGCAGTCAAATAAATAGAAAAAGAACATGTGAGATACACACACAATGAATATTATTTACACACACACACAAAATTAATTTTACTTATTCATTAAAAGAAAAAAGACACCATGTTACATGCTACAGCAGGAATGAACTTTGAGGACACTATATCAAGCAAAATAAGCCAATCATAAAAAGATACATACTAGCCAGGTGTGCATGATGGTGCACATCTTTAACCCCAGCACTCAGGAGGTAGAAGCAGGGAGATCTCTGAGATGGAGGCCAGCCTGGATTACATAGTGAGCTCCAGGACAGCTGGGGCTACAGGAAGACCTTGTTTCAAAAAACAAACGGAACAAAAGATACATAGCACCTGATTCCACAAAACAAAGGGAACAAAAGATACATAGCACCTGATTCCACTCATGTGAAGCCTCTGAATCAGTCACAGAAAGTAAGACATTAATTAGGAAGGACTGTAGGGAGAGGCACGAAGAGGACATTGTTGTTCATTAGGTCCAGAATTCCAGTTTTGTGAAATGAAAAAGTTTCAGTGCTCTGTTGCACAACAATGTAAATATTCTTTATACTACTCAAACACACACTTAAAAATGGTTAATATTTTGTGTCTTTTTTTTTTAATCACAAACATCTAGCTCTTGGGGATGAGAGGAACTAAGTGATAGAGTACTTGCTGTACTACTTGGTTCTGTCCCCAATGCCACAAAAACTAAAGAGATACAAAAGGAATCTAAGTCTGTAAGCAAGGTGGCACCTTGCTATGTTACACTAGCTAATAAACTAATTTTTGTTAATATATTATTCATTTTAATGTCTTAACTTGTTAACCTTGTCAAGCAACCTTTTTATTACATCAGTTTTGCTACATATAGCATCTTAACTCTGTGAACCCAGGACCTTAAGCATGATAGAACATCTTAAGTTTGAAGAGCAAGTCTTGTTGATGAAAACTTAGTCCCATGTGAGACAAATAATAGGGAGCCCTATAAAATTGACTGTAAGCATCCAACTCAAGCAAATCACTGGGCTCAATCTGCAGTGGTGGGGCCTCCTGTAGAACATGAAACACCTTTTTTTTTTCTTTTTGAGACAGGATCTCCCTGTAGTCCCAGCTGTCCTGGAACTCACGATGTAGACCAGGCTGGCCTTAAACTCACAGAGATCTGCCTGCCTCTGCCTCCTGAGTGCTGGGATTAAAGGTGTATGCCACCACACCCAGCTGAACAGAAACACCTTTTGATTTGTCAACTGTGCTCATATTTCTAGCCCTGTAGAAGCTGGGGGTTAAATAAATACAGATACATTATTACAATATTAAGTATATCTCAGAGACTAGGCAAGTGTACTTCTTGGATTTTATAAAGTATGGTGAAAAATAATGAGTAGGCAGAAAAGTTCATTTTTTGTAAAAGTTTTGTTTTGTTTGGCAAATTTCGTACAATATATCTTGATCATATTTAGGCTCCCTCCCCTATTTTTCCCCCATAGCTCCTCCATGCATTCTCTCGTGTATGTTAAGGCCTATCAAGCATGTTTCTGTCCCTCAGTGTCCCTTGGAGTGAGTCTGTCCACTGGAGTCTGATCAATATATCCAGCATTACTCCCCTAAAGAAATCCCTCTTATAGCAGTCATTAGCTGCCAATAGTTTCTCGATTAAGGTTGGATTTGTTACCCATTTC